TGTTCCTTTATAAGTGTTTTGAAATAGATTTGTTTGTGCATATCCTGGATAAGTTCAGGTCACCAGGAGAGCTCCGCCCACCCTCCAGGTGGATGAGGGATTGGAAAACTGAATGGAACTAGAACATGGATAGACTGTAGGCATGGAAGCCCAAGGTCAGTACTGCATAGATGCGGACAGGAGGTCTGAGAAAAAAAACTTGTTGATCAAACAGGTGTTGAGGGCAGGATTTACAAGATGAAATGCAAGCATCTTTTTACCTGTGGTAACAGAAGCAGGTGGCAACACAGCTGGACACAGGAACAGCACTGGACATCCACCAGATCCAAATAACCACACTTAATACTGGTCACTTGCAAGCACTTGTCATTTGATTATGCATCTGCAGGCAGAGTCCAGGAAAACCATAGTATTTAAATGGCTGCTTTTGTGTTAAACAGTTACATCTGATCATCTAAAAATAGTGTTTTAAAGTAGGGTGTTAATGTTAGTTTTAAGATGTAATTTTTAGATCAGAAGCATCAATTTGCTTGCCTTCCTGTTTAACAATAAAGTAACTGTTTTAACTCTAACCTGAACCCTGTCTCTGAGGCAAATATGTTACTGAAAATATATCATTACAAGTTGAAAACACATTTTTATTCCACAAATTCCTGCAGACTTTCATGTCTGTAAATAAAGCCCATGTTCGAATCCTGAAGGCCAATCACAAATAAAAGCATGCTAATTTGGAAGCTGTAGTAGGTATAAAAATTTCCTTCTATGACAATCAGACACTTTCAGTATCCAAGAAATCCCCTCTGCTAATGGTGTGCTCTCTGTGTCATTCTAATTACATGCTGACTGTACCTGGATCATGTGACACATTGGATGGTGTAACTTTTTGCCAGCATGAAAATAAGTCCATACATTACTATCTGTTTACAGCTACATATTTAAGAGGCCTGGCCCAAAGGTATTCTGGCACTTATTCAGTAGTTTTTAGACAGAGTCAGTCTTAACAAACAATTCTACTGTTCATTATCTTAAATGTATTCCTATTTTGTGTAAATAAGAAGAAATTGTTAAGTAGCTAAAATCTAGTAATAGTCACAAGCAGAGTAGACCCATTGGCATTTGGGCATTTGGTTAGTCAACACTTCCATAAGTTTAATCAATTCAATGGGCCTACTCTAGATGTGACTTACTGCTGGATTGTCTTTTTAAGTCATTTGTCTTTTAATGTGTGAGCCACCTTGTTTCCTGTAATTGTGGGAGGAAGGAAGGAAGGAAGGAAGGAAGGAAAGAAAGAAAGAAAGAAAGAAAGAAAGAAAGAAAGAAAGAAAGAAAGAAAGAAAAAGGATTTGCAAAGTTGTGCGCCATAATAATCAATACTGCCATTTACTGTTGTTGTTCTGTACTGTCAAGTTGGAACCAATTTGTAGGAACCCTAATAGGACTTTCAAGGTAAGTGAGGTATTAAAGGAGTGGCTTTACCAGTTCCACTCCCTCAGTGAATTTCCATGGCTGAGCAGGGATTCAGTAGAAGACACACCAGAACCTTCAGAAGGGAAAGCAGCTGGTTGCAAAGATGGAGGTTGAGGGAATTGATCAAGAACACTTGGACAAGAAGTGTCAAGGCAGAAGCCACACCCTTCCTACAGCTGCTGGAGAAATAACTTATTGAAGCACTGAAGGAAAACCCCTTTTTATTGGGAAAGGCTTTGTTCTAACAAAAAAATACCCAGCACCTATGGTGTAGTTGTAAATCCTCCAATGCAAGCACTCAAGGACCAAGATCCTATTGCTTAGCATTGTGAATTGCACTAGAGTAGGCCCATTCATGGGAATTTGATGAACCAACTCCACCATAAGTTCCATTGATTCAAATGGGCTTAATCTAATTCTGACTTACTATGCTAAAGTGTGTTGTGGTAAGAGTAGGCTCATTTGAATCAATCGAACTTATAGATGAGTTGACTCACCAAATCACCTTTGCTTCAATGGGTCTATTCTAGTGCAATTTACTGTGCTAAGCAACAGGATTTGGGCCATAACCTTATTTGCCATAGCTGTGGCCCAATTTAATTGTGTGCTGTCAAGTCAGTTGAATTATGATGACCCTTTTCAGGTTTTTCTAGGTAAAGGGTACTCAGAAGTGGTTTACCATCCCCTTCTCCTGGTGGCAGCATTGGACTGTGCAGCTTGCCCAAGGCCTCATAGGCTGGCTCTTTTGAGATACAGCTCTCAACATCTGGCTCCACAGGCAGATATCTAAACCAATTAGCTATCCAGCCAGTTCAAAACTGCAGGCAGTTGTGAAGATCTATATCGGCAAACCACTTCTAGCAATTCCCATCTCCACCAGAAACAGGACTTTTGTAACATTAAGGGGTCCTCTTTGCCAAAAATTCAAACTATTACAAAATCCTGTGCATTACAACCAAACAACTCACAACCGAACAACTCACAAAAATATAGTGGTTCTTAGAAAATCTATTTTCCATTTAGCTGCTGTAAGAACAGTGCATAACGTGAAGGAAATGGGGAACTGCAGATGGTATCATCATTCTGACTAATCAAAACATCCTAATGCTTTGACTCTGCAAGTCCTGATACCTGTACACAGGTATAGGGATCTCAAATAATTGAATCAAGCTGTACGTAGCAAGACCGGTTATACTTTTTTTTAAACCCCTTACCTGCAGCACCAGCAGGCTGCATCTCTTGGAAGTTAGCCCTGTTTCTTTTCCTGCCCTCCAATTATTGCTTTTTAACAGTGCAAGTGTCTGCGGCTGCCTTGCTAATTTCTCCTAAGCGTTAAACTGTCTCTCCTTTGCCAGGAGCCTTTGCCAAGGGCCTTCTTGCAAACTGTGCTGACTGAAATGCAATCAGCCATTGTTGCCCCACTTTGTGTGATGAGTCAGGCAGAATTATGCGGCAAGTTTATTGCTGTTACATGCTGTCACTGTGCAGTGTGTTATTAGATACTTAATAAAACTTTGACTATTCCCACCAACATAAGGAATGCCATGCTGCCTAAGGGGAAAACAGCATGCTGGAAGGAGTCAGTGAAACTAGAATTATGTTTGAGTGAATATGTATATACACACACAGAGAGAGAGAGAGAACACATATCCATGCCACACACACTCACATATTCACAAATACCAGCAACATTCTGCTTAGTTGGCTTACATTTTGCAAACTACAGTTGTTTCAGCTTGTGAGTCTAAATGCCATCAAAGAGTTCTGGCGGTACGGAATGATATACGTTGGGATGGGTTCAGTAGAATTGCATCTTGTAAAACTCTTATCTTGGGTAGATACTGATTGATGGCGACATGTATATGTAGGGTGATACGAATGCATTGTCACTGCATATAAGTCAAAAAAAATAACAATAAGGTGGATGGAGGAGGCTTTGACTGGAGCAAAGTGACTGCATAGAATTATGGGAAAATTAAGACGGCTCCGTAGTGCATGTCTCACATGAACAAAAGCACCTGACATCAGTCCAATACGCCTGGATTGTATTCTTTTAGGAGACAGTTGAAAGCACTTCTTCATAGGGAGGCTTTCCAATCTGACCACATTTGAATGGTTCACCTCTAGCTCCACTTTTCTGTAATAATTTGATGTGCTACGGATTCTTTTTTTTTTAATGCTCTTGCCTCATTATTGCTTTTTTGTGTTATGTCATAATGTTGTGAAGTTTTGTAATCCTTTGTAAACATTCCAGAATATTGCTTTGGCACTCCTGGAGCAGTATATAAATTTAAGTAAGTAAGTAAGTCAGTTTCTAAGCAAGTAAGCAAATAAGTAAGTACTGTAAGTAGCCCAAGACATTTTGCTACCTGAGGAAAAGGGCAAAATGGTTCCCTTCCTCTCCCTTCCACAGACAGAGACCAGATGGACTGTCCGCTCAGTCTTAGGTCAACACTGTCACTCAGATAGTTGATCTCTATCTGTCCGCCTACTGGTGGAAGTGGAATACTTCAAAAGGTGTAGTGTATGTTGCATGGCACACACAACTCACAGGGAGGTGAAATGCCTAGAAAGCTTAAGAGAAATAACCATGGTTATTTCTGTCCCTTGTATCTGCTGCCTGAGAAGTCTACCTCACTCTGCTTAACGAGAAGGCCAGTTCTGCATGGCAGTCTCTATTGGCAGAGTCAACACCATGTCACTGTTCTACGGAAGAAGAAAAAGATCTCTCTGCAAACTCTGCTTCTACTTAATGGGAAGGCTCCCACACACCCTAATAAAGGTACTGCTCTATGAACTTTCTGACCTTTTACTAGAGCTTAGAAAAGTTACTTTTTGGCAAAGAAGGGGATAATAAGAAAGTACATGTAATTTTCCTCACCACCCTACCCATAGTTTAATGGCTCTGAGGACTCCACGGAGCTTAGAACTTGAAGAAATACCTGGCTCTGAAGCTTTTAGTGGGGAGCTGTTCAGCTTCACCTTCTCCTCTGGTGGCAGGCAATGTGTCTGCATGCAGAGGTGGCAGATGTCGCTTCCCGTCACTTCTGCAATTGCTGCCACTACTCATCATTAACCTTCGTCTCTCCTTCTCTGTCTTCGCCTTAGGGCTCGGGGAGACACTGCTTTCTCCTTATCCTTTCCTGCTTTTGTTGCTTTCAGTTTCAGATCCGTCTCCTCAGGCAAGAGGGGTGGGAAGCCCTTTCTCACAGGGCTAGAACTTCTAACTTCTAGTGGCTGCCCTCCAAAAGCAAGGGTCTTTCTTGAGCAGCAGTGGGAAGAAATGGGGATATTTCCACCCCCAACACTCAGCTGCCTAATACAATCGTCTCACTGAACTTCATGGTAGGGCCGGGCCATGACCATACTATCATGAACACACCTGATGTTGTCTGGTTTCAGAAGCTAAGTAGAATCCAGCTTGGCTAGTCTTTCTATGGGAGCCCTCAAGAAATACCACAACTCTCCAGGGAGGATAAGGAAATAAATCCTATCTAAAATCTAAGAGTGCTACTGCCACTCAGAATTGACAATATTGGACCAGATGGTCTAACAGTCCATTGACCTACTTACTTACTTACTTACTTACTTACTTACTTACTTACTTACTTACTTACTTACTTACTTACTTACTTACTTACTTACTTACTTACTTACTTACTTACTTACTTACTTACTTACTTACTTACTTACTTACTTACTAATTTATTTATTTATTTAACTTATATGCTGCCCACTCTACCCAAAGGTCTCTGGGCGGCTTACAACAATTAAAATACAAAAGATAAAGCAATTAAAATGTAATTAAAATTAATTCATGTCCATGGTCATTAAGGTTCATTTATCAGTATACATGCAAAAAAAAAAACTTAACATGTAAGGGAGTCTTATAGTAGCCCTGCAGAAGAAATCAGC